TATATATATATATACACATATATATATTTATTATTATATATATATATATATATATATATATATTTTTTATATAAATGGATATATATGTATATGTGTACACATATACATATAAATATACCAATATACCAATATATATATATATATATATGTATATATATAAATATATATAAATGGATATATTGGTATATGTGTACACATATACTTATAAATATACCAATATATATATATATATGTGGGTGTGTGTACTTATATATATATATATGTGTGTGTGTGTGTGTGCGTGTGTGTCTGTGTGTGTGTGGATGATAAATGTGTATTATAATAAAATATATATATATGTGTGTGTATGTGGATGATAAATGTGTATAATAACTCGGCATCTAAAACTCCAAAACCCTACCTGCATCAGACACACAATCCCGTCGAACGTGCGGTACTGGTGCGCCTCCAGATCAATCGCAAACTCTGTGCAGCCATTGAGTGTAATGACCAGATCCTTGAGTCCCTGGGGGGTGTCTACCATCGTCAAAGGGGTCTCCTCTAGGGGTCTATATATCTGCGCTTCTTCCACAACAATCATCTCATCGCTGGGCTCGAACGCTGCCAGCTCGGGCCCATAAGGATGTGGATACCCCATCTCTAACCCCTCTTCGCGAATGTGGTTTGGCCTGAGAGTCTCAGAGGCATCTGTATAAGGCTTCATCGCCTCCTTAGCCTCGCCATCCACCTCCATGGGACCACTCTCCTGTGTGCAACGGGTGTGGTGGTTGGTTAGTAATGTGATACTATGGAACACCTGAATACACCTACATTTCCAAAGAAGAGGTCGATAGCACCCAGTTCAGTGCCTAGATAAAACAACGCATGCCAATACATCCCATATCATGCACAAGTAACAGTAACAGGCACATCCACAAGAAGTGCAACCCAACCCAAAGCAGGTGCCTACCTGAGTGCGCGTGGGTTGTTGCGTGGGCGTGGCTGTGCCTGATGTAATGGCGCTGCCACTGCGACTGGTGGGTTGGCTGGATAGCCCCAACACGCGTGACACGTGGTCTGAGAGTGCTGCGTTCTCTAATGCGCTGTCTGGTTCGCTCGTTGTGGTGCGTTTGGCTGCTGGTTAGTGTAGGGTTTGGGGCGAATGGGGGGGGGGAATTGATTAACTATCACACAAGGGGGGTGGATAGGTCTACCACACCAGAGGGGGTCAATAACTACCACACAAGGGCCTTTAGAGGGTTGGCTGATTCTCATATGATTATATTAGGGGAGTGAATACCTCTACCACACCATAGGGGATCAATAACTACCAAACAAGGGCTTTTAGGATGGATGGTTGATTCTCATACGATTATGGTAGAGGGTAGTGAATACCTCCACCACACAAAAGGGGGTCAATGATGACGAATGGTATCCTGACTTCGGCCTTGGTTTTGTAAGATTCGGTCGCTCAGACCCACTGGAGAGAGTGGCTCTATAGGTGTACAGGTACCCCTCAGGGGCCTCTACGGTAATCGCGAGAAGCAACGGATTTGCATTGGGCAAGTGGGGTGGTTGCAGAAGGATGCTGTACCACACACACGTGGGTGCGAGAATACATGCGTGGGGTTCCGGAATGGATAGCTGCCCTTGCCCTTGTCTGCAATGTGTCAGCACTGAACCACCAGACAACACACTGTGGGTAGGTGTCACAGAGACTGTGAAGCAGCCACACTCGCACTCCATTGCATTGATCGCACAGTCTCCAGACGAGTACGCCCCAGCCACTACGTCTAATTACATTCAATATCCAGCCTCTAGGTATCATTGCATTCAAAAGCCAGCCACTACGTATAACTGCATTCAATATCTCTATGCAGCCAACACCAAATAAACACAGGGCCGCACACACACCTTCATTCCGGAAGTCCTCGTAGACCTTAGCGAGTGGCACTATAGCATTGCGCTTCTCCGTGATTTTGGGCACGAATGGAGTTCGGGAATTGTCCACTTTCTCTGAAAAGTGGATTTGGGGCCGAATGATATTCAGGGCGTGCACCATGTGCACCGGTTTCTTCCCGTTTTTATCCCATTTGGTGGTTACCAATTGTGCTTCTTGTTCACTCGCTGTCAGTTCACCGATCTTCGGTTTCATACGCAGCCCCTTGATGTCTCTGTCGATGGTGGTGGCCTAAAAAAGACAGAGCCAGTACGGAACAGTGCAAAGTATTAGTCTTATTGCAATATGAATAGATGATTTTGGGTTCAAGTATTCATTTTGGTTTAGTTCCTAAATTCAATACAAAGTGTAATATATATTTTTGGTTTAGTTCCTAAATTCGATACAACGTGTAATATATATTTTACATAAATATATATTTATTCTATATTTATTTATATATAAATATATATATTTATATATTTATATAAATATATAT